TACGGCTACTGAAAAAACTGATAACCCCCCAGCTGCTTCACATTAGCATAAACCCCTGCCATATTCCATCATTTCCATTATGCCCTAAGATATAAGTAAAGAACATGAGCTCCATTTGTTTCTCTCCGAGTCTCCCCATCTGCCTTTTTCTTTTTTTTTAATAGAATAGAGTTGGCAAGTTTACTTCCCTTCCCTTTCCCAAACACGCATTATCTCTGTGAAACAGGTGGCAGCAGTCTCTCCTTTACATGTAAATGAATCTTGATGCCCATATTTACTACAACCCGTATCTGTATAGGCCTGGACAGTAATAAATTAAAACAAACTAGTATTTTCAAAAACGAGAAAAATAAAGTATGCTGGGTTTTAATAACGTATTAAAACAGTCTCACTCTTAAAACGTAAATGTAATTAACCAAAAACTAAACAAGATGTTTATTTACACACTAGTATACGAGAAGATTTAACAACTGAATATGAAATTAAGACATTCAAGTGTAGAGATGATCTAATCCAATCGTCCAAATTATAAATACATTGTTGGAGCAAGTTCCTTACTAACATGCAAACTCTTAAAACTGTAAAGCTGATTACGTGGAAGCAAACTCTCTAACTAAACCAGCGCATTCACAAAACTCACTTTTTTAATATATGACTGAAAGCAATTTACAACAATTCAGAAATATCAGTAATCCTAAACAAACAGCTATTCCGTAATTACTCCCAAAGCCTTGCAACTAAAAAACTCAAAATTCTTATATTAAAACAGGAGGGCTGAATAGGCTTAAGGCAAGCAGTAACATAGTTACTTAAAATGAAATATGTTTGAGAAGAGGAAGAATTAATATCAGTTCACATCATTTTTGTTCTTCCGACGGCTATCTGATAAGATTTAGCCTCATGCCCCCATGTCTTATTTCAATTTTGTAAACAAAAATAAAAATTCCTCTTTATGACTTCATTGATACCAGGTTTTAATCTCATTGCAGAGTCAAGACACCGAGATGAGAGGAAGAAATTTTTTTTTTTTTTGGAAGCAAATATTTTGCAACAACAACAAAAAAGCCTAAAGTCTGCTTTTTTACAGCAAGATATTTTATCCCCTCTTTCACTCAAATTTCTTCCTATGTTAAAAGAAATGACATTAACCTTCATTGGCAGTTCTAGGGGGACTGCCGCAGATACTGCCATCGTTTGCCGGACTGGAGGCTTACTGCAGTTTACTTGGGTAAATCTTACCCCAGTGATCTGTCCTCCGGCCAGCATGAGCTGGGTCTGGGGTATGGCCGCCTGCACTGAAGGCTGCTGGGAAGGCTGGCTTGGCTGCTGAGAGTCCCCAGATTCTTCATTAGATTTAGACTAGTCAAAAAAAAATACAACTCTTTATAGTGTAAAACAGATGTTAATGTATAACACTGCTATCGCAACACTGCACAATAAAAATCTTTCATCTGCATACAAAAAGCCCTTGGGTTTATTTTAAGAGTATGTTCAAGCAACGGCTCTGTGTGCCCACCATTTCAACTAGGATTGCTCAAACATGTCTGTAGGTAACGCAGTTTAAACAAAACAAAAAGACTCTCAGGTCTTTTCGAACTCCTGGACATTATTTTCAGGTCTCATTTCATTTTATGCAACACAATTGAAGCTGATGCTACCTTTCACCATAAAGAAAGAAAATGTTGTTAAAATTATCCATTGCCTAAAATCCCGAACAATGGAATGAGAGAATGGAGATCATCTTTCTATTCTCCATATCCACATCCTGCACCTAAGTCACCATACTGTTGGCTTCTACTGAACTGGTTTGAGAAATCCTTGCGGGTTTACCTACACACACCAAACATAACATATACGGTGCTTTTATATAACCAAAGTTTAGCATCTATTTAATCAACTGCTGGTTTATTTTAAAAGATTTGGGGGTGGTTGTTTTTTTTGTAGTTTGTTCTTTTTAACAGAAGAAATCGTGAAGACATGAGAGAGGAAATGCAAGTGCATCAGGAGGGGGAGAGAGTTTTATGATAATTAAAACTGGTTATGCAGAACATTAAAATTCTGCATAGATTTGCATATTTTCCACCACCTGTTTTGGGGACTGCAGAGCAGGCTAATTAACATAAAGGCTCTGATTAATTCTGCCAGTCATTGAGCGATAATTACAGCGCAGGACTGTAAACATTCTGCACTGGAGATACAGCCTGTTTGCCAACATCTCTCGCAGGGATGGAAGTTTACCATGGCAACCAAGGCAATTTTCTGCCTCCTTCCTCTTAAAAAGGAAGGTCACTATACCTCTTCTTCTTTCCAAATTGTTATTATATGTAAGTGGGTCCACGTTCTATTGCATTTCACGTAATGCACTACCTACATTCTTTAATAACCAGCAATACTGAAACCAGTTTTCAATAAAACTCCATCCCTTGTCCCTTAATATAGTACTTAGAGGAAGTGGCATGTTAACTGGTGCACTGAAGTGTTCAGCATCCTAAAAAAGTTTGAAAGCTTTGTTGTCTCACGAACACTATTAAACAACAATTACTCTATTTTAAAATCACTGTGTTATTTACAGTAGCAATCTATACTAGCCATATCACACAGTTAATGTTACATTATACTCCTATAGTCAGGTATCACAAGTGAGGGCAAATTGCAAAGTAATACTTCCTATGTTTAAAATAAGCAAATAAATAGAAGAACAAGAAATATTCCTGGAGATTTACAGTTTTCACGACACAACACCTGACTGAAAATCTGTATGAAGTTATGACCACTGCATGTTTTCAACAACTCCAGTTTCTGAATGCTGACAATCCTGAACCTGATTTACAGCTGTAAAACTATTAGTCCTTCATACCCATAACTTGCAAGACCAGTGAGAAAGAAAAAATAGGGTAATGCATCCTAGGTTAAAAACTATCTCTAATGGGACTATAATGCTGTCTGGAATGAGAGAAGGAGGAGGAACAGAAGGAAACTGTCTTTACCTGTACATTTAAGGACTGAGCAGCAGCCTGTAAACTTGTTCCAGCGAGCTGGACCTACAACACAGGGCAAAAATGGAAATGAAATAATGCAGAGTCCACAGAAAACTTTAGCAACGTGAAAAAGAACAACTTCCCCACTCTCACCCCAAGAAAAACTCCCCTGAGAAACACACGTGGCCCCTCTAACACCTGAAAAGAGTGAAATAGGGGTTGTGCTCTGGGCTGAAAAAGATCCGTAAGACTCTTCCATAGTGTTGTTTGTCTACCTCTTGTTAAACGTATTCCTGCCTAGCAATTTAGATATTATCATGGAATTGAGTTGAAACAAAGCATTTTGAAGTGGACAGGCTAACTGTTCCTATTCCTCCTACAAAAATCCAGGCTTCGGGGGATGTCATTAAGCTCTACTCATTATCATCCTTTTAATATTTCAGAACAGTTCTTACCCCAAATACATACACTGCATTCACCTGCTTCCTTATACAACAGAGGAGCAATCACCTGCACAGCACAAACCTCACAGCATAAACACTCTTCCTCAAATCAACCTTTTCAAGTATTTGTAGTCCTCCGCCACTGAAAAGGAGATTTCAATACAGAGGACTAGAGACATTCTACAAAGGCTGTATTGATTCAGGTATACTCAAAACTTGAATTCAAATGTTTGTGATTAACAGGTCCAAAGAAGTCCTTGTGGGCTAGCAGTGAAGAAAAACAGATGCTTCAGAAAATGAGATTTTTAAAGAGTGTTATTTTATCTCTAACAAGGATTTTCTCTGCACAACAAATGCTAAATTTTCATTTACTGGAGACCATTTTAATCAGTCTTGCCTTGTTTCTACCACCACTCCTACTATAAAGAAGGAATGCTAGGTAATTAATTATCAACAGTTTCAAAAGTCAGAGTTACAGCCTGCAGTGAATTCCAACTCCAGCCACTTTTGAAAACCAGGCAACACATAAGGATACAAAATAAAGGAAAGGAAAATATAGCACTCTCGCCTCTATGAAAAGATGTCCCCACATCATACACCTCACAAAAGAGAGTACACGTATCTGCAAGCACGAGGAGGAGACTTTTAATTTAAATTGTACTGCATTAAATTAGCAACTCAATATTTGAACGGGCAACCCTTAAGAGTCACCTTGGAAATGTTTCTTACCACTCTAGATGAAGGTACTAGACTTACTAAGCATGTTCTACATCTAAGCAAACACTCCCAGAAAAAGTCCTCCCCATAACAAGCAAAATATCATTTGACACAGTTGATGTAATCTGAACTTCTAACATGAATTAACAGCAGAGAATAAGCTAAACAACAACAGACTGCTATCCTAAAAATATACTCAGGAATAATACTTTAAAAATTACATAGTAATAAAAGAATCCACATAAAAGAGTAGAAATGTATCTCGGCTACAGCTAGCATATTCTTGAAAATCTCTTTGAATGCAGTTTGGACATCCCTTCCACCATACAACAAACATTTTCTAATCAGAAACCAAACTGCTCCTGAATGTTTCCTACAACCTAGTATTTTGTATTCGTCTGGAGGAAAGCACCGTATATTAAGGCTGAATAATACCCGCTAACAGCAGCCACACTAGAAGAGGACAGTCTGACAATAGATTCCCACACACCTGCAGGCCCCTAAAAGAATAGCTGAGATTGTCCTTTTCAACTAGTTTTTGAACTAGTTTCAAGAAATGAATCACACTTTATCAAACATGAAGTTACAAAGATCCTGACAACTGTTTAAATAAATATACGACCAAAGCAAGATAAAGCACTGTGTTAAATACAAGAATCAATCTATGTAACAAAATGAAGGCTAAAACAAAGACAAAATTCTGCAGAACAGCTGTATCTGTATCATGTTAAACACATACTGACAACCCATGAAAACTAGTCACATCTTCTCTCCACATAAAGGCAGTCTACAACAGCCTATTGGTTCACTCCTGGCACTCCCTGGGTCCTATATAACCCAATCTACTAGGAAAATTGTAATTATGTGACAAGACATGTGGAATGTTCCATACAATAAAACGGCAGTTCAGAGCTCTTAAAAGGAGGCATAAAAGCTTCAGTGCGTCAATTATACCACAATAACTGTGCAACCTCAGACCTCAAACATTCAAGGTCAGCCAATTAGGTACAGTATTTTAAAGTTTAAACTTGGTGCTGAGGAAGGGAAAGAAATTAGGACATTTGTTTTCATATATCAAGTGGCGAACAGGAAAAAAAACTACAAAAAAATGCCCCTTATACTTCTCTTCACCTAGGGATGCCCCATTTTGCTTCAGCCTACATCTGAAGTTCGGCTTTGATTCCCTAAACACCAGCAGCTGCAGAACAGAGGGATAGTAGTAGCAAAAGTCTGAGTATCATCTGACAAACAGGTCCCTGAAATAACTTCAACAAAAATTTAAAAACTCACAAACAATATATGCTTACTAAGCATGTTCACTTTATATTCCTAGTTAATGTGTTAAGAACTTGGAAGACTGAAGTATAGTGCTGACTGCCATTCAACATCCCTTCTGGTTTCTTAACTAGGTAGTGACAATTTCAGAACCTCAGCAGCTGTTGGGACACACAGTCTTTTACCAAGAAGATTAAATTTTACCTTGCCTTTCAAGTGGATATCTCCATTCAGGTTTTTTTAAAAAAATAAAATACCTCAGGCATTCTCAAGTATCTAAAAAGGGGCCTTCTAGTTCCCTCAATAGGTCTCACCCTATCTAGACATATTCTGCAGCCTAATGCAATGAAGTGAGTGACGTCATAAGAACTTTTTTCCACCCAAACTATTTAAGGACGTGGTCTACCCATACGTGCCTTACATAACTATCCAAGTCACAGAAAGTGAAAACACAGAACATACTAGAGCAGCTGCATTTGTACCTGCCTGAGTCTCCCCTTCTTTGAAACGGGTCTTGTCTTACCTGATGAAGGTGCCCAAGGAAGGCCTGGGCCTGGGCTGTAGAGATTGCTCCTCCGACAGGCACAGGCTGCTTTTGAAAGTCCAGGCCATTTGTTTGCGTGCCTGGAGAAAGAGAGATATTAAAAACTATTAGTTACTACTTCTATGAAAGAGTAAGAAATAACATTCCTAAGTCTCCTGCTTTTCTCTCAATACTAGGTAATAGAAAAATACTTGGAGACTTAAAACAATTGAATTTTTTTACTGAAAGAGGAGGTGGGGAAGCCATGTCACCTCCAGACTTCGGCAATACAACATTCGTCACCCGAACAAAATCAACATCACATCTTCTTTAGCTTCTGTCATCCTACCCACTCTGCGTACATTATCCCACCATTCTCTACCATGGTTTGGGAACTGAGTGAGTGCGTGCTGCTAAAGCAGTTAAATGGTGTTTCCATTCTCTGTACACTCTATCTAGCAGCTGAAGACTATCTTCAAGTTCAGAAAGCACAAAGAGCAACATTCATCCACAGTCAGCTTTCAAAGACAAACAACACTTGATGAAAAGAGAACCACCCTATGTACGTAGCAGTTATGCACCACAGTTTTGCTGTTTTGATAAAAGATACCTCCACATTTCCATGAATATTTGCACAGAGCTCTCATTATGTAAGATACGTGCCTGAGCGTGCTTTTGCTCTCACTCACTTCCAAGTAACTAAAGACTGATTATTGCCCTACATTTTTGTTGTCTTCTTCCTAAACAACTTGGAAGACATGAAGACCAACAAACTATCCCCAAATAATCTGGTCGTAAGGAAAAAAAAAAAAGAAAGAAAAAGAAAAAGAAAAAGAAAAATAAGAAGCCGCCCATTTTTTCCACAAGAAACTACCACAGAATTCTCTTCTGTCACCAAAATGAACTATAACTACTATTTTTAATAATCAGTCTGCAGGGAGACAATAAAATCAACATTAGGAATTATCAATAACTGAGTTTGTACACTGAGTATCCCTGCCTACAATGGCTAACAAGTAAGAGACTCTGACTGTCTAGAATTGATGATGCAATCTTAAAAATTGCATCACTGAAATGAAGTAAAACCAGCTCTAGAATTGCATGTTTACTCCTCACAACAATCAGATTTTGTTCAGTGCCTATGGACAGGTATTCAACTAACTTCTACTTCAGAATTCCTTCCAGCATCTACATTTTTGCCATAAAAATCTAGGTTATCTACTAAACAAGAATGTCACGGTCATTAAACAACAACGGGGGTCTTCTACTCCTTAGAAACATCTGCAAAAGAAAACAAGCATAAGGCTCTAATAGTAAAATACACTATCCAATATTTTACATTGCTATTTTGACTTACAAACAGCTTATACCGATAAAATTTCCAAAGATGGAGTCACTCTTCAACTAAATGCAGATACAAAGTAAACAGTCAAGCTTTCTAGCACCCAGGTAAGGCTGATGAGAGTTAGGGCTGGCTCAGGCCACTAAATGCTGACAGATGCTCTCTGACCCCTCTCCCTTCCCAAGTTGAGAAGTGAAGGGGAATAAGGCAGAGAGAGTTATGGATTGGAAAAGAAAACTAAACTAGCTTTTTTTAAAAAATAGTACTAGTAAGGAAAAAATAATAAAAATTAACTATATACAAGCATATACAAACGCAGTATCGAACCCAGCTCCCACTCCAACAGCAATCATCATTGATGCTGCAGAGCAGGCGGCATCGGGGAAGCCCCAGGCTCAGCAGCAGAGGGGAGCTGGATACAGGAACTCAGGATTGGGATCAAAGGCAGAAGATCGGATAGAGTCCTCCTTGCATGTCGGCCATTGAAGAAGAGGCCTCAACTCCCAAGATCCCGGTTTTATACTGAATATGACGTATACGGAAGAGAACACTCTTGTTGGCCACCTGCCCTGTCTGTTACTGCCCAGAGGCGCAGCCTGCCACTTCGTTAACAACTCCTTTCACTCCTCTCCACCTCCGGCATGGCACACAAGGTCCAGCAGTGACCTCAGTCACTACAACAGCAAGGGTAAGCAAGAGCCTTTCTGCATACCAGTCCCTGGCAGTAACTGTAAACATCAGGCGTTATCGCTTCTAGCAGCGGACACTGTCTGCAAAAACATGCTGCTGACTTCAGAAAGTGCAGCCTCTTAGAAGAGACTGAGCTGAAAAGTAAAAATCACTGAACAGAATTTGTTTTATCTAGCTCAAACTAAGACAAAGGTACACCTAAGGTGGTTCTCTGATACATCTTTGGTGGAGGTGCTGTGTGGGAAGAATTGGTTTGCTTTCAATTTTTTAATTTTGTGCTTGGGGCCAGAATTTACAAACTTAAAGAGACATATGTGTAGCCAAAAATCTACACACATGTTAAAAATATCCAAATTTCAAACCATGTAAAATTATTTTGCTCCTGAGTCTGAAATTTCAATCCAAAGTGAAAAGAAGGACTACCCATGGTCTGAATCCTGAATGCAGCTTGGTTGCATTTCTCCAAAGAAAATTAGCTAAGGTCTGCTGGAAAAAGCTAAAATAATCTCATTTATTTTCATTCCTTCCAATGATTTGCAGAGGGCCAAAGGGAGCTAGAAGATGATTGTGTAAATATATAAATATAATTCCTGACAAACAGCTACTGTAATTCAAAGGAAACCATCTACCACCTCCTGATTTATGCAGATGCTTTGAGTGAGTTTTCAACCTGCAGTCAGGGGCCCTCAAGTAGTAAAAAAAAAAACAAATAAGGAAACCTGTTGTAAGACAGGTATTTCTCATTCTAATCTGAACTTTCAGGGGTCAAAAACTTATCCATTTCTGAGAGGACTAGCTGGAAGCCTCACCTTCAATAAATAAGGGAAGCTGTTCTAGTTAACTGTCTTCCAAAAAGAGCCTCAAATCATGACGCCATATGAAAAGAGCACTGCTGTGCATGTGTGCAGAAGAAATGTTCCAGTTAGTGCTTGTGCTGACTCTTAATATGGAAATTTGACACAAGCCTCCTAGGGCTGATAGTTTTGAACACAGGAAGTTCCAAGACTAAGATTAAAACCTCCATGAGTCCCAAAAAACCAGTTTGCACAGGTATTGAGAGAAAACAACATTTTCTTTAAGTTCGACCTTGTAGGACTCCAACTCCCTCCCCATGCCTCCCAAAACCAAATTTTGACGGGAAAAAACCACAAAACAGACCAAACATGTTCACTCTGTTCTACTTGCATTTTAGGCTTTCTTTGGTATTTCAAGTACAGCGTCTCTTCCCTCTCATATGCAATCTTAGTTTTGAAGGAATGCTACCCAGGCTGTTTGCATTTATTACAAGACGCCTATGTCTTTTAAAGAACAGCAAGGAAAATGAACTTTTGAGTCCAGCACATGAGAGACTTTACTGTTAAGGTGCTCATAAGGAATCCAAGAAATCTGACATGGAGACTGGAAAATGGAGCTGTCAGAAGCAGAAGGTCAGCATGTTGCAAGGACACGAAAGGACCAGAATACCACTTCTGCTCAAGATAAGAGTTAAATGCAAAAATCCACAGAGACTACCAGACAGGGCAGATGCAATCCCAAGTATTGTGATTTTAATAATCCCAAGTATTTATGTCTTTTCCATCTCTATCCCAGCCTACGTAACTGCTAGAGCTGATCTAACAGCTCACTAACACCAACCAAACAGGAGTGGGAACTCTCCATCTCTCATCTGCTTCTTCTTGGTTCCAACCACATTGTTCCTGTCCTGCCCCTTCTGCTAGTTCATGGGCCCAGCAGCAACCCAATTCACCTTTCTAGCTGACTAGAAAACTATTCGTGTGAACTATGCCCTTTATCTTTTGGCCAAGTTAGTTTTCTACCAGTTATGAGAGATAAAATTACACCAAGCAGCAGATAATACAAAGCAGGGGTAGGTCAGAGATGTGGCAGTAGGGAAATGAGCCTCCCCTGTCCCCAGCAAGCTGGCAAGACTGAATTAAGGTATAGGATGAAATTTCACCCTTACAGCCCAAGTCAAATGCAACTTCAGCACATTTAAATTCTGACATAAATACAGCCATGTGCTTTAGCTACTTCACAGAGCTGGTTTAGATGAAGACTAAAACCAAGTGCAATTAATTTTCAGATTAGTTTATGCTGTCTTGGAATTGTACCTGCAGAGGGTAAAGGCATGACAAAACAAAGCTAGCAAGGTAACACTGCACCTGCAGACAGGAGAAGAACATACTCTCAAAATTCAAGATCATAATCATCAGACTCTACAAACTGCATAAGAAAGGGAGTGAGGAACTACAGGTCTGGGGAGAAGTGGACTAAGTGCCAGGAAGGACTCAAGAAGGGAAGGTAAACAAGGAAAAGCAAAATTTCAAAACTAACTTGAGCAGGTATCCACACCGTGCTCCGAGAGACATCTTCCAGCACCAGCAATCTGGTTCCCTATCTCTCTTTCCCACCCCAGTATGCATGCATTGAGAGAGAAAGACACCCCCACTATTCAGAAATGTTGATTCCTTATCCACGTTATTAGTAAGAAGTTTAGCAGTGATATTTGCCCAGAATTTTAGCAATTAAAGAATATTTCATGGTCCCTCTTCCACTCTCCTACAGACCTTCTTCTTATAGAAACTGGAAAAATCAGTCTCTGGAAATGAAGCAATGCAAACAAGAATCCTTAGAATCCTTCCAAACACCCACCATGCTTACAAAAATGATTATGTTGCTGCCTTATATATCCATGTCGTAATACTACAGTTTTGACAGACATTATAATCTTGACTTTCATAGTACTGCATTCATACAGCTTTTAAAAATAATATATATTAAACAAACAAAAAAAAGTGGAGCTTTTTTGGAAAATTTTATGCTGCGATCTATAAAAAGGAAACCAAAAGTGCTACCCATTTACTGTAAGGCATTCTTCTTACTACTACTTAGTAACTACTGGAAAAAAGACATTGTCCACCCACTGCTGAAGGTTGGAAAATATTTGTGTAATTCTGCAATACTGATGACCAGTTGATCAATTCATGTTCTTGCAAAAACAGCCTTCCTAACAACTCTTGCACTCATGAAGACTTTGTTGTTTGTAACCCATCTGAAATATGGGTTACTTTTCCAGATAGTTAGAAGAAGGGTCCAGCTAGCATAAAAAATGTTAAAGTTAAAATTTGTTTCAGGCACTTTATAGTGTATTCAGGGGACTTTACAATGTTATCTGAATAATCAGAGTTAGAAATACAAAACACTGATTTGTTAACTTCCCTGAAACTTAGCTGTTAGCTCAGAGAACTACTGATTTAAAGTCATCTTTACTGGTGACAATCATTCAGTTTTGGTTTTTTTCCTGAGAACACTAGCTCTGCCAAATGTAAATTCCTTGTCCTACAGTAATTCTCTTAAAATTTTCAAGTTGCATCAGCTTACTTCAGTTTAAAACAGGAATGACCCAAGCAAACAACTACTGAGCTTTTACAAGATAGACTAGTAGTGCTTACACAGCAGACTCAAGTGCTTTACAAGCATCACTGGAAAACAGACAGTTACAGAAAGTTATAAAAATAAGAACCTTGAGTGTTTACAAAAATCATCTTCATGCATTTTGCTTCAGAGACTATGCTCTCCAGGCAATCAATGGCACTTTCAGTTTCTTCGCCTCCGAGCTGAAAGCTGACTTCTTTTCACCAAGCATGCCCAGACCCCAGAATCATAATCTAAACCACCGTGATCAGAAATCTAAAATTGCATTCCATAAGTTTTCCCTTCAAGGTTTAACATGTGCCAGTTGACCAATGCAACTGATGCTTCAGTCCTCAAAGAATGTCATGAATCACTACCTCCAGTGGTTTATGAGCACTATGCTTACAAACCAACCTATCACTGCCTAACAAAGGGTCCACAAAAATTCTAGATCATTCTATTTTGCATCATGTTAAAGCCGCACTTAGGGAAGCGCATTGGAAACGCACTCTCTGGAAAAAACGGATGCAGGCAACTGTGGTCATACAGAGCAGGAAGTCTGAATTTTCTCACAAGTTTACACTCATTGTCCAGCTACAAGGATTCTATAGGGATATTTAAAACCATTGTACTTTTCACGCTATTTGTGATTCTGAAGTATTTACAGCCCATATTTTTTTAAAAATAATGTTTTATATCATCCTAAACCAGTATTAAATACATAATGAAACATTTTTTGTACATAAAAAGAACTGATACCTCTCCTACTACAAATACAACCACAATTAAAAAGAACTGAGATGCCAGTAACAAAATACACATCAATAAGTGAGCAGGATTCCTTTGGAATGACCCCATGCATTGGCAGACAACTTCCAGCCTCTCTGATCAGTATCGGGAACATTCAGTCACTCTTAGCTCTCTTAAAACCTTGCACAAAGAATGAGGAGACAGTAGCATAATATGAAATAAATTGTTAATTTCATCACAACTCCAGAGTTTAAAACTCTCATTGTTGAACCAAGAGGAGGAAAAATAACTTTCCTCACCCAGTGTAACTAGACTTCTCTCAAAGCAAGAACCAGTTCCTTCTCATTAAAATTTTCTCTTTCCGAATGCTATCCTGAGCTCACAGAAGATTTTGAGCTAGTTTAAACTATTTACTTTCCACTCAGAACTGTCATTTCTCTTGCTTCCAAAATGAACATTAAATTACCTCCAGAAAGGAATTAAAGCATGAGATAGCATCATCAAATTACAGTGGTTTAACAAGCTTCTTCAATGGCTTAGAACTTGGCCACATCTTAAGGATGTGCCGAAAGGCACATGGGCCCTGACACACGTTATTCTTCCTCAGACAAATTTCAAGGTTCTGTTCTAACACATTAAGAAATTACAGAAAAGATGGCTTACATGTTTTTTTTAATGTTGAGAAATGAAGCATCCTCCCTTTGCCTTGTTCTAGAGAACTGTTGTGAGAGTTTGAATGAAATCTAAAATGGAAACAAGATCAGCTAGTGGTCCTCATCTGCCAGGAAGAATCTGAACCCCAAAATAAATGACAAAGAGATACCAAAGGTGTGTTCTGCTAGGAAAAAAACAAAACTACTTACAGAGATCTAGTGCCACCAGACCTTCCGTAATATCAGAAACATTACTGCTAATGGAAGCAGGTAAGGGAAGTATTATCTACAAAGTGTGGGTAGGGCTCTGATACAGTAGGTGTGAATACTGCCTGACATACAGTAAGGTTAATGATAAAACAAAAGTGTTCTCAAGTCTCTAAAAAAAAGTAAGGGAGGAGTGTGTTGTGATTTTTTTTTGTTTAATTCCTGTAAACCGATAAAGAAATTTGGCTTTTAATATCTACTTGATTTCCCCAGAAAATATCTGTGCACTAATTCATCATTTCTTACCTGTGTTCCCATGCTCACTCTCCATTGATGGTTTACTGGTTTCTGACGGATTGTTCATTCTTGAGTCTGCATTAAAACAGAAATAAAGTTGAAGTGATACAGCAAGAAAAACCCAGAACCTATTCATACCTTCTTGTCCAAGCAAAGTACAGATGATCAGAAATGTGATATGTACTTTGCCTTGATTCAGATTATAACACAAAAAGAATGATCCGAAGTAGAACACAATACTGAAACTTCCAGGAAAATATTGTTTCAAAATTTTGTACATCATTATTTCCATTAAAAACCCCATGGTGTTAAGGAACTAAAAGCACATTTTGGAGGGCAAAGATAAGTAGAAACTTAATTTTCAGTACAATGACAGTCATAGAAGCAAAAAGGGGTAAAAAAACCCCCCAGCATTATGTCTGACCTCCATGGTCTACATTATTTCTGCGTTGGTTCCCCCCCATAAGAGAAAGGAAATTCATAGAATCATAGAATGGCCTAGGCTGGAAGGGACCTTAGAGATCATCTAATCCAACCTCCCTGTCATGGGCAGGGACGCCTCTCAACTAGATCAGGCAACACATGGGGACCAGTCATTATAATTAAATAAATGTCATTTTTCTAATCTCGCATCTTCATTTTACAGAAATATCACTGATGCTAAGTTGTTTTATATTTCCTATATATTCATGCAAAACATACAAACATAAAATAATTGCTCTTCCTTCTCCTTCTGGACAAATCTATTGAAAAGCCCACTCTTGGTTTTGAAGCTTGTCAGTTGAAAACATAGTGCAACACAGAGGACCTCTCCAGATGGTAGACAGAAAATACAGTTTCGTTATATAAGAATCTATACAGATGTTCTGAGCACAGCATCAGCTCTCCAGCTTATTACCTTCTCGTTCCTTCCTATCAACCTCAGCATGTCACATGGTCACAGATCAAAATTACAAAAATAATCTCAAGACAGACTAGTTCATAAAATGAAGTGTTAAGCAAATCCTTAAGCACATTCTTCTATTCCCATAACCACCTAAATGTAAGTTCAATGAGCTCAAAATGAACCCTTTACTCCAGGATACTTTCTTGCTAGGTGCTTAAAAGGTTACCTCTGTCATGTACTTTCATCACAGCAGTGACTTCCAAAATACCAATGGGCTGAAGAAGAATACAGTAACAGCATTAACCGTTGCATGTTTCCCCCAGATACTTCCAGGAATGTCCTGACACATCACTGCTTGGCAGTCTATGAGAGTTAAAATGAGACGCCGGACTATTACTGCATACTATCACCTGCTACTGCCCTGAGGGACCAGTGTCACCCTCAGGCTCTCAGAACCAGGGGCAACAGGAGCAGGGGAACAGAACCACGAGCCAGGAGGGATGAAGCACTTGGACAGGGCCTGAATGCAAACAGAGTCACAAGGAAGCCTGGTTAGGAGTGCAGGGTGGGAAAAGGAGGGACCTCGTTAGAAATTCAGCACGTGTGAGCGAAAAGATAATGAGACATCAACCTTGGAAAAACTCCAACAAGCAGTTAGGAAACACGAGACACGTCAATATTTTTAAAACTAATGTGATTTTCCACATAAACAACTGCTACAGTTGAACCCAGCAGGGTCTAGAAAACCCAGAGAACTGTAGCAAACAGGAATCTTCCCCTGAGAAGTTAACTCATCCTCTCCAGAGCATCTCAGAAATTTCCTATGCCTATGCTTAAATCTTTCAAACGGCAGACATGTGTAAGAGACATCTGAACTATCAATGTTACTCTTAGCATAAAGGCAGATATGTTAAATGGCTTTTTAAAAGGGGCAGTGAGTGAGGAGAAACTTCCCAACGGAGTGCTTCTAGCCTAAACTTCAGCAAAAGGTTGCAAGTTTTTCCCCGTTTTTCACAACCTCTCCTCAGCAGATTCAAGCTACAAATTCAGTCTTGAAAGACAGAGCTCTGCTAAGAGCAGATTCAGAACCTATTGCTTCCTGGCACCTTACCTTGTCATCTTCCACTTTTGGATAGTATGGTCCACACTCTAGAAAAAGAACATGGGTTCCAGCGACTGCACAGAAATGTTTGTTGATGTGCCCCTCTCTGCTAATAGATCTGTATGTGAAACAAAGCATGTTTCTGTCTAGAAGTTACATGTACCTTCAACTGAGCTTATTGTGGCAACAACACACTTGTTTAAAGTGATTATAGGCAACATTCATTTGATATGCAGCATCAGGTTGTTCCTTGACACACAGCTGGCTACTGAAATTAGTTTACGTTCGGAGAGCACTGAATGGGAGATCACTTTGGACACAAAACACGGAGAGCCCTCATCCAACTGTGTCAAGGGTTAGGGCTGGGTAGGCCACTAAACACTGACAGATGCTCTCTTACCCCTCTCCCTTCCCCAATGGGAAGGGAAAGGGAATAAGGCAGAGACACTTACAGATTGGAAAATAAAACTAAACCAGCTTTAATCAAACAATAATAGTACTGATAAGGAAACAGTGAAAATAAGGAACTACATACAAATATACACAAATCGAATATCCAACCCAACTCCCATCACCGATGCTGCAGAGCAAGCGGCACCGGGGTAGCCCCAGGCTCAGTGGCAGAGGGGAGCTGGACACCGAAGCTGAATTTGGGAACTCAGGATTGGGATCAAAGGCAGAAGAACAGTCTTCCTCAGATGCCAGCCATTAGAGCAAGCAAGAAAAGAATTAAGGTGCTTAATTTCCCACGGTTCCTCAGCTTTATAATGAAAATTATGTATATGGGGAATGGAATACTCTTGTTGGTCCCCTGTCCTCTCCAATCCTCACCAGAGGTGCAACCTTTTACTTCCTTGGCACCCCTAGCATGGCACACAACATCCAGCAGTGACCTTGGTCACTACAGGAGCAAGTATAAGCAAGAGCCTGTCTGCATACCAGTCCCAGGCAGTAACTGTAAATATCAGGCATTATCACTGCCAGTAGCACGCACTGTCTGCAAAAACATGCTGCTAACTTCAGAAAGTGTAGCCTCTCAGAGGAGACTGAGATGAAAATTAAAATCACTGAACAGAATTGGTTCTGTTTAGATCAAACCAGGACAAACAGAAAAATAAGCAGAGAGGGCTCATTTGTCCAATACATTTGGCTGCGGAAATCACTAACTCCTGGGGCTATTTAACACAGATGTATTTTTTTGAGCCTAGAGCACAAGGATAGCCTAAACTCATGATGGCATGAACCACAGAAGGGAAGAGCACACGCAGGTTGAGAAGACTGTCTCTCAACAACATGGGATCCATTAACCGAACCACTTCGGCAAGCTCTTGCAAGAAAAACAACATAGGGCCTCCTGCTTGGCTAGATCATTGCAGAAACTGAAGTAATTGGAGCCACTGAGCAAGATACTAATAGGGGAAGAAACAAACTAAACCCAGAGGAGGGACACAACTGCCCTGTGCACAGAACTCCCAAGCAACACAGTGACTGTTCTTCCTGTATGAGGAGGCTTGTTCAACAAACCTCCCTGCATTAACAGCAAGTTTGCTTAGGACAAAGTTATAACTTTACAGATCTCTTTTCATAAAGCAATCAAGATATGTTTTTCTGTCAGACTACTCCGCAAAATAAATCCTTTTTCAAAAAGTTTTTCAGTGTTTCCTAGTACTAGACATACACATAAAGTTTACTCGACTACCAAAAGCAATGTTGAAACGAAGAGGATTTTACTGTGCAGATTCACCCCTAACACAGACCTCAAACACTGCTATCGCAAAAACGTAGCATATTGTATGAAGAAAACATCTTCTGGTGCAGTCCAGGTTCAAGCGAAGGATAGCATCCATTATTTCACTATTTCTTGTTCAATCTGTGGGCCTTCTGCTTGTAAAGCATCAAGAACAATGCTGCTATTTCCATTGCAAATGGTATGACACACATCTAAAGCACAAAACTGCTATAAGCGTAACAGACACATATCCCCAGGATACCAAACCTACAGATTCATTATATGTCAACTATTTGGTCTATACATGTTCATACGATTTCTGCTTTAAAGTTGTAAGAATAAACAAATTAAGTGGGCTAAAAAACACCCCGTAACACCCTCACCTTTTCTTTTTCCTGTAAATAAAGGCCCTGGGCTACAACTTCTGCCAACACTATCTAAAAAAACTCTACAGAAGGAAGGATCGAAAGCAGCAGGTGCATGATTGAAATCAAGCTCTCGGGAGCGAATACATTCAGTACTGCTACTCCGCTAGCAGGGCAGAGGATGTCACAAGGCAGTGCCGTGCCAGGATTTCACACACCCTCAGCAACATTTCAAAATGTAGTCAGAAGAAAGAAGCAGCAGATACTGGACCAATGTGGAGTATTAGGGACCACAGACAGCTAGTAAAACACAGAAAATCTGAACGTGGAATATGTCATTAACTATTTCCTTTCACTCATTAAAGTGAAACTGACGAATATTCTACCAGTACTAGGGAAAATGATTCATTAATGCACATGGAAAAACTCAAAGTTCACTGTGAGTGAAAACATGCCAGGAATTCTTTAGAATTTAAAAAAAAAAAATCATACCAGAAGCAAATATTCAGATGTCTGGTTTTAAATTTACCATCCAAAAATACATGCTCTTACTTTAACATGAACTTATATAACACAATCAAAATAATAATACGAAAAAATATCTATGTGTTGAGCTTTGGAGAAAAAGCCTTGCAAATAAATAAAATCTACTGTAAAATTTGGGTTATCTGTTAACATAAATAACTAAAATGCAGGGAGAAGAAATCATGGCATGTCTGTTCTGCAGTCCTGATGGAATCTCTGTGCAGGAAATACATTATCCCAGTAACCTTAGGCACAGCTTGCAACGGTATCAATGGCAACCACTGTGCACTCCACCTTATTTTCTATTACGCGTGAAGAACCTTGCTATTACATTAAAAATACACGGACACAATATACATTCTGTTGGGGAAGGCTCAATATAGCTACTAAATTCTTTGACACTAGGACTCTCATTCACTGTAATGCTTTAAAAATCATTGCACAGATGTGCAAGCCAAGTCCAGTGTTTGTTAGAACCCAAACGTTTCTCAGATTGAAATCCTAAAAGCAAAAGGTCTGTATTAATATCATCCAAGCCTAGCAGCAAATCTCTCCAGCGCAGAGGAAACGAATTCTCCTGGAGCGAAAGAAAGAAAGAAAGAAGAAAGGAAAAAAAAAAGGAAAAAAAAATCCCAAACAATCTATTTTCTTAGTGCAGATCTATCTATTTACGAGGCAGCTACCTGCTGCCGACACACTGGAGAGCTTCAGCCGCACAAATACCTTCCCTAGCTTCTGCATATGTGATTAAGCCTCTATGCATAGTCAACCTCACAGCCTCTATTTCCATATTAAACGCTCGTAAGAAAGAGCTGAGCTGGTACCCACCTAGAACGTAGTCGCTGCAGTCCAGCATTGCTGTGGTATCCTCTACAGGTTCAGATAGTCCAAGGAAAGGGAGAATGGCAATTTCTATCAAATCTACACTACTGCTCTCGACCAAACACGAAAGGGAGTGGGGAGGTGGGGGAAGAAATACAACTTCAGTTACACCATAGCAATCTTGAACTGAACAGGGAAACTTCAGTTGCTCTGTGGAGTTTTAGTAGTCTCTCCTACTAGCTGTGTCTGACATTGTCAAGGCGACTGAAGCGTGAAAAGTTCCCCTTTTTGTAATAAAATAGAAACAAAGATTGCAGCTGGCAGTTTCCATAATGAAGCTTAATCAGTATGCGCCTGATTAGGGCCTTATGCAAATCTCCTCTCGTTAGCACAGCAGCCAGCACTTTGAAGTCCATGAACAATTCATTTGCAGAGTACACTGAAAGCACTCCCTGCATAATTTAAATCATGGTATAAATATTTATCAGCTCATTTGCATATTAATTGGCAGTGCATGAAGGGAAAAATTATCTCCCGAGTGCCAGCATAATAATTAGGGAACAAAATGAATTTTCTTCCAATAGCTTGGCTTCTCAGCCCTAACTCAAGCACAGTACCACAGGGGAGCAGGGAGGGGAAGAGACAGAGTTCTGTTCAAATGCCACTGAAATGACACGTACAAATTAGAAACAACGCTACAGACTTAAGCACCTTTATCTGCTGGCAACAATAACTTCGATAATAAAGGGGATTTGGAAAAAGCTTTCTACACAATCCAAATAATCCCACGAAAACAATTAGCAAGGTAGAAGCTGAACACAAAGCTGTCAAACCAGTACTTGCACATCTGCATGGAGTTGTCCACAGCCGAACACGAACTGTCACAGGAAGGTCCTGGGCAGGAAAGAGAGTGCCACCAGGGCAAGGAAGCGGCACAATTCCCTTCAAATGGTTAAGGAGCTTGGTGATTCATTACCGGGTAATCCCTTTGCCACGGCCAACTTAACAGCAGTGGATATGTCAAGTATTGTGTAACATTTGACACCCACTAATCTATCCCAAGTGAAATCAAAATAGATTTAGTCTTTTGCTTTCCAGTGACTTCCACACACAAAAAAAAACTATTACTAATCCCTTTCACAAATGTACAAATATAGCTAAACAAAGCTTAATGCAGAGCTACGGACACTTCACACTCAGGCTGCATCTTTGAACCACTCAATGATAACCAGAACACACTTTCTGCTGTGACCATCAAGTATGCTCAAGGACTGTAGAACTGAAAAAAGGCTTTGGTCTGTGGAGGAACTGATCTTCTTTCCAAAAGTGGTCCACAGAATCAAATCATCTGATGATCTGTAAGGGTAGATTAAACCATTTCAAATTGTTTACCACTCAAATATTAGGGACCTAAACAGCAAGAACGTTTATATAAAATTCAAGTGTAATGAGGCCATCACAACTCTTAATATTTCATATTCTAATCAAAAAAAAGATGATGTGATGATACAGGTGACTACAGGGTTGAGCCACCCACTTCCAAATCTTAATGCAAATTTAAGGAGTAAGTTGTTTTCTTTCTTTGTTCTTTTAAAAAACCTAGCTTTTCTTCTCCTCATTTCTGAAGTGAATTCAAGCACCGCCTCTCCAAACAAGAGGGAGTGAGAGAAAAGGAACTTCTCAATCATCCAGTACCGACTGGAATTTATTTCCACGCTTGACCTCTTATTCTGTTCAGGTTCACATATCTACTTAACACAAGATGTTCCCTGCTATATATTTAACATGAGTGATCTATGCTTGAAAAAGACTGCAAGAAGGGAAGGTGCTCCCAAATACAGGGAATCAACTGTGTGTACTGAATAGGTTTTCCTAATACCTTGCTTCCAACTCGTTCACGTGTTCCTTTGAGAATTCTGAGGCACATCTTCATGGTTCACAGATCTTCAGTAAACTTCACTCTTCCATACATGGTTTTGGAGTGCACTGGGAGATAATCCGTTTGCTTCACTGGAAGAGTCTGGACATAAATGGTATAACAAGCCAAGCACTTCACAAAGGAAGTGCCACTTTAAGTATTGGCTGAGCTGATGCTGCCAGTAGCTCAGGAAGAGGACAGCAGTGTTATCTTTGGGATCCTTCTCAAAGAAGAGTCTGTGTTGAGCTGGCTGAACAACAGGTGCAGCATCAAAAGCACACGACTGCAGGAAGTGACCGTTAAAAGCAGGCACGTGTGTAGTGATGGATGACTTGTATTAAACAACAGAACAAGCAAACAGCAAATAAAGCCCAGGGAAGGACGTGCCTGCAGCAGTAGTAGCAAGTGTGCTGGTGGTACCACAGTGCCGACATCGCACTGGCAGCTAAGAAGGACTAGGCAGAAATTTTCTTCCTATTCCCAACTGTATCAACCAATTCGCCTTACAAACACCAACTCCCATGCACACATTCATTCAAAATGTAACTTACACTAAGCAGTTAATTGAAAAAAAATCTTAAGACACTGACTTTTAGAACAGACGGGGGAAAAAAACAACTCAAACCCCCCCAAAAAATCTGTTCTTCCAGCTATCGCTTCGCTCTTTGGCAACTTTCTTACCTTCCCTTTTATATCAGTACTTAAGTTTTGGCCAAACTTCCCTCCTATTGATTCATTTAGGACATACTAGTACAACTATTTATCAGTTAGTCTTCTGAAGGAGGCCTGAAGACACAAATAGGAAAATATTTGGGGAGGACCGTACATACCATCCTGCTTCAAAACCGTCGGCGGAATATGCTGGTTTAACTTTCTGCTTAGGTTCTGACATATCATTGGTTGTTCTTTTCTTTATAGATTCTTACATTCTAACTCCCTTAACACCCTGAACCGAAGTCATACTTCTGGTATTCACATTTCAGCAAAGTACCACTCCAGGCTTTGCACACAACATTTCATTTTTCCTCCAAAGGCACTTCTATGAAGAGAAAGCAGCGCACCTTGTGATCACCAGTGTGAAAAACTCTCCACATCCCCCACAACTACAGACAACTCAAAAATTGCTTTTCTCGTCTTCATCCAATTCTGCAATTCTTACATTGATGCTTTTTCCCACATAATTGTATTGATACTTTTCCTTAAAACCAAAGGAACTAAGCAGCTAACATGGAGCCAGGTATGACAAAGGCTGATGTTCTTCAAACAGTTCAGTCTGCAAACAAGGCTTCAAGAGACTCGTTTTACCCCATGCTCTCCTTCACTCTTTCTGTATCTTCCACACCTTCCCACTTCAAATAAATGCCTTTGATTTGCTGTTTGTCCCACCAATGTCACAGTTCTAATTATCCTACTTGGCAGTTTAATACCTTAGTTTTTTGGAAAGGGGACCGCATTTTCCCCTGCAGGTTACACAAATCTTTGTTAGATTTCCTTTTGCAACATCTATTCGTCCTCTTGGTTTTTTCCCACTTATTATGCCTAACTTACCAACTGTAAACTCCACAAAATTATTCCTCAGTGTCACCTATTGTAAATAAGTGTTACAGACAGCAAAAGCTGTTACAAACTAGGGGGAAAGGATGCTTAAACACTTATCTTCAGAGGATCAGTTGGTCTTTTTTTCCTCTTAAAAAAGCAATATAAATGAGGCATAATTAAAAGGATAAAGGGCAAAGTTGCCAACATTATTCTATTCAACACCTTTAAGGGGGAAAAGAATCTTCATTTTTATACAGATATGTTTCCATATATTAGTAAGGTGTCATTTACCATACGCTACACGCCCTCAATGACAGCCAGGAAATTTCTGCCACTAGCCAGCTCTATGACAAGTGTGACCTTTGTAAACTTCGTGGGCATGCTTTCTGAATACACTATGGCAAGATTACCCAAGAAGCCAACAACCCCTTATTTCCCTTTTGAACAGTGTACTTGTAATGATACAAGGAAAGAAAATAAAATATTACTTATAACATATTGGCATAGTGCCTTCACTATGTATCGGTGTCAAGTATATTTTATCTTGAAGAAACACTGAAAATCAGTCAACAAAGCTTTGAGAATAGTACATCACTAAGCACAACGTCAACAAATACTGGCAACACTCAAGAGTTAGGCTGGTTTCTACGAGGCATGCCAGGCAAGGCCATAGGCACAGCTAGCCTTACACTGATGTTACATACAGCTACTACATTTTCACTCAAGATATTTCCAAGTCTCCATTCCACAAGCCAAATGAAACTTAATAAAAATTTCATCATGCAGAACTCCAAAGCACTCTAAAAAAATTATAAAAGTCATATATTTCAACAAAATAAACTGTTATTGAAGTTGGCACAATCTTCTTAGAGCAATTATAGACAGAAAGACAGCAGCATGTTTATAGTTAAGGCTGCAAACTAAGCTCTGACTTTGGCCACCACCTTTGACTTTGGCTAAAAAACCTGATTTTATCTGAAAATTGCTAAGTTTGCTCCAAAAGCCAAAAAGCACTTGCCTGGAAAAGTCAAATAAAATGGGCTTGTCTCAGAATTAGCAGTCATTATGCAATTGCTATGAATTGGAATTTTAGTCTACATCTCATTTCATTTCCCTCACACAAACTCAAACCATAACTATCCTTTCAAAATTTCCACTGCACAAAATGTCTTTCAAAATTCTTTAGTGTACCTTTTTTGAAGAAAATTAAATATGCACACAGCTA